TTATTCTAATATTAACCAAACCATTAAAACTCTTAAAAGCTCTAGTAGTGCTGGTTTTGACGGTATACCATCGTATCTTTATAAACACGGTGGATCTGACATTTCCGTTTTATTACTTAAGATTTTTACAATGTCCCTAGAAAGCCAAACCAATCCAGATAAATGGAAAACCACATTTATAGTACCCAAACACAAATCCTGATCAAAAACTGAAGTCAACAACTATAGGCCAATCAATATTACACCCATAGTATCTAGAATCATTGAAAGAATAGTTAAAGATGATATCCTCAAACATATGCTCAGATGCAATATTCTAAGTCCCAACCAACATGGATTCCTAAAATCCAGATCATGCATGACATGTCACCTTGACTTCTTCAACTATATAACCAGTAGCCGAGACAAACACCAATTAGTACTAGTCATCTACTTTGACATCTCCAAAGCCTTTGACCGCATTGACCATTTGCTTCTAACAAATAAGCTGAACTCCTTAGGAATAAGTAATCCATTATTAGGATGGATTGAATCATTCCTTAACAATAGGTCCCAAGTATTTAGACTAGGTTCTGTAAACTCTAAACCTAGTCCAGTCACTTCTGGAGTAGTTGAAGGTAGCGTCTTAGGCCCCCTTCTATTCACTCTATATGTCAACGACATATGCAGCTGTTTCTCACTTGGCAAACCATTCATCTTTGCAGGTGATCTTAAAGTAGCTTACACATTCCACTGTGATGACTTAGGGTGCTTTCAGAAAGCTGTTCAGGAGGAACTAGATCGAGTAACTGCATGGTCCTCCACATGGAACCTAAAATTCAACCTTAAAAAATGTGGTTGGATCTGTTTCGGTGCACCCTCAATAAATATTAAACTGGCGCTTGAATCTATTGACTTGCCTAAACTCCAAAGTGTTGTTGACCTAGGACTCAGGTACTCTAGTGACTTGACATTTTCTGAGCAAGTGGCGACACAGACGCGTAAATCGAGGATGCTCTTAAGATGCATACTCAGGAATTTCCACAGCTACGAAGCAAAACTATTATTATATAAAACTTGTGTCAGACCACTACTTGAATATTGTCCATTTATTCTCAGCAGCACTCGCGTAAGTGAAAAACTTAAAATAGAAAGTGTCCAACGATACTTCACGTCCAGACTACTAGTATTTGACTGCGAAAAGGACTACACATCAAGGTGTATAACTCTAGGTATCGACCAACTCTGGATGAGACGACTGAGCATTAACCTAACATTCTTCTTTAAAATATTGCATAAAATATCATTCTCAGACAGTAAGGAGATACAGTTCTCACCGGAAGGCTCTTACAACCTTCGTAACTAAACGTGCACAGTATCTAGGAAAAACTGTAAGACAGCACTCCGTACAAACTTCTTCATAGTCATGTACTCTAAGATCTGGAACAGTTTACCCCTAGAAATAAGAACCTGTCACTATTATAACCTTCAAACGCTTGCTATATAAACTGCTTCATCCACATGACTATACCTATCACACCGCACCACTTATTTCTAAAACGCATGAGCTATTAGAACACTATAACGCCTAGACTCATTACTAAATATTATGACACTAAATAAACCCTAAGACTTCGCAAAAATACATGAAAGAACAACTAGATTATAGGTAGTGTTTACTATACAATGATATACATTTATAAACATTTGTATATACATAAAATATTAATGTCCTCTCCATTTTTACATACTTTATCTTTCTGCTATTCTGCTGCTGAGATTACTCTTCTATATACCTCCTGGTCGGGGTCGAACAACCCAACATCTAAACTGAAATGACCATTTAAGTAAATTCAAAATCAAATTCCATGAACGACCCGATGCAACCACTTGAAAACGCTGGCTAACACTCTGTACAATGAGTATTCAAGATCTGAAACAGAGAAGCAACTGGTTTTCAAGCAGTTTTAAATGTATTACTCAACTTACATGTACAGTCTGCCATGCTGACACAAATGACGCCAATGGATAGTTCTAGAATCGACCTCAGCCCCATTTGATGCAGTAAATCAATCTGACATGAACTTATCTAATTTTCGTATCCACGATCAAATTTCTTTCCTATTAAAAAACTGCGATTGGACTGCTGAAAAAATGGAATAAATACATCATTGACTCAAAATAATACATCAATAAACATTAACTCAAGGATACTGTTCACAACAAAGTTATATAGGAGAATTGACCTCAAGCTTTATTTTTCCCAGATATTTGTATTACATTCATCTGAAGTCTGGGTTTTTGTTAATGCGAAGACAATATTTCTATATCTCTTTATGTGTTAAACAGACAGACTGTTTTGCAGACTGTTCTGACTGACTCTAATGTTAGAAAGAACAAACAAACTGTAATTTATATAATAACTTATCCATGCCTGTACAGTTGGTATGTTCCTGTATAAACAGGAATAAATAAATATGAATGATTCACCTGTGTATATTTTAGTATTCGTAACCTCTTCTGTTAACCTGTTGGTTTTGACCCTTGAATCTTCAACTTTGTGCAGCTTTAGAATTAAATCATCTGGCAGGTCCAAATCTTACGGAGTTTTATTGTCAGTCCAGCGTATGCCCGTTCTCCGTCTTCCTACAGCCTATTCCATGATCCATTTCTCCAAAGTCAGAAATATCATCTCTGGTAGTATGTAGCTTTATATTACTCCTGTCTCCGTTTCAAGGCCCCCACGGAGCTTACCGTTGTGGATTGCCTGACATGTGGGATCACTACACAACTGTTGAATGGAGTTGGTTAAGGTTTTCGCTACTTCATTTCTTGTTGTTGAGGTTGTTTCCAAATTACTTAACAGCCAGCGTTTTCGAGGGGCTTTCCGAATTTGATTAATCTTAGTTGGGGCTTGAATGTCACCCTATGCTCTGTTCAATGATGATGAGTGCCATTGGAGATTGATCAGAACATAGCTTACCTTTCGTGAATTCATTTTGTCCAGGATGAAGTTTGGCGTCCAAAGCACATTCCAATATCTCCAGAAAAAGTGACATAAGAATTCACTGCGCGTAGACAGGACCATGATTCCACTCCAGGTCTCAGTCTCCCGTCGTAGGTAGCTTCAGGAGACGAAATTTCTCCCAAACTCTCTGTGGCAATGACACGGATTTAGCCGCTAAGTTCTATAGTTCCGTTTTCAGTAACTGTGATGGAATTCCATCCGCTCCTGATGCCTCGCAGACTATCAGTGATGTGGTTTGGTTCAAGACTTCTGCTTCCCTGGAGGAGTGATGTTCGGAGATAGTTCTCTGCCTACCGTTGATGGTGGTTTTTCTGGACGACTTCTAGGTGGTGGTTGGTTCGAGAGTCCTTAGAAATAGTCAGCCCACTGCTTTCTTTTACTTCCCCTCTGTGGTAATTAGTTACCCTCACCGTCATTCATTTGTTTCATCTGTTTTGATCCCTTCCCAAATAGTAGCCTATTGATCTGGCTAACTCTTCTCAGGTCACTCTCATATGTGGCCTGTTCTGCTTCAGTTGCCGGCGCATCGCAAAATTGCCTCTTTTCTTTCCTGTCAACCTTATCCATTTCGTTTCCCTGTATGCTTTACACTGGACTCGACTTCCCTTTTCGTTGGCCGTCTTGGCACTAGTTTATCTTATTTTTCACCACCACTCTCTCCTCTGTAATTTTTCACGTGTCCTTAGAAAGCTATTCCTTGTCTTGCCTCATCTGTCCTTCTGAGATGACTGCACAGGTTTCCTTTAATGACACATTCAGAGGAGCTCAGTGCTCCTGCATACAGGCTTCGTCTGTGATGCTGGAAAATATGTCCAACTTTGCTCATGTTGGACTTTACTTTCAACGCTCATGTCATCGTACCCATTACCATATACTATCTTGAGGTCATCTGCATATGGCTTGCCATACTTGATCACAGAGATTATGTCATTTATGAATTTGTTTGTAACTGTTTGCTATCCACTTGTGATGTGAGTGAGGCTAGGTCTATGTGTTCAGAGATAACTCCAAATATGAGTTTCCAACCCCCACTACGCCTCTCTCCTCGGCAGCGCTACGTAAATTTCAGTTAGAGCCTTCTATCACTGCCTCTCTATTGATGCTCGAGGGCTCATCGGGACGGAAAGAAGGACATCGGTGTCCGATTCCCGGTTGGTGTAGCCCTGTAGTGGAAAACATTTGCTTTCTGGCAGTGACTCACCGACTGTGCCAGGTGTTTTGTCACCGATGCTAACTGAATCATTAGTATCTGGTCATTGATTGCTCTTCCCCTGTAGTGAGGGTCCTTTGCAATCCAGACATTTCAATGTCCCGTTAAGCATAACAATGATTTCTCCTATACGATACTCAGTAAAGCTGCAGTAATCATTGCGCAACCAGTGTGCAAGGGGACTGAAGAAATGCCTGTATGCTCTAGGGGTTAGGTTGGTGCACATATTGTGGAACCGACAGTTACAGTAGTCACATTGTATGACTTCCTCAACCAGGAGAGGAAACATGAATATCCCACAAGGGTTTCTAAACAGGCATATCTTTCAGGATAAATTTCTAAGTATGGAAATCAGATGTAACCTCAGAAACAACATTTAGATAACCGAGAATAAAAACCACTGATTTTTTATAAAATTGTGGATGAATGGGGAGTCAAAATGTTTCAGAAGTACATTGTCTATAAGCAATTGAACTAAAACCCCATAAAAACTAATTTCAAGATGACTAACTGAAGCCGAAGTTTATCTATAGGCTTTTGTGTCGCACAGCACAACAAAAGTTAACAAGAGCGTGCCAACTTCATTTTCTTTCCAGAATTCGTCTTATAAACGAACACACTACTTTCTTCTTATGTAATCACTGTAGATCGAGACAGCCTGAAATTATTGAGAACAAGTGAAATGAAATGCTCTGATTTCATGCTACAGTTTCAGTCTTGTTTTATCTTTTTCTGAAATTGGACTTTACTGCAGCGCTCTTCTTCGCTGTTGCGTTACACAGGATGGCTGGCAATGCGCTAAAGAGACTTATGGCTGAGTACAAACGTGAGAACCATTTGTTTTTTGTTTATCTTGAATATAATTTAAATGAAATCGCAACATTCCTTTACTTCATCCCTAATCAAATACTTTGGGGAGTAATTATAACCGAGCTAATTAGTCTCTTGAAAGTTAAACAAACCATCTAGTGACCCGCACTGGTTGCCGTGCTCTCCTTACTTAACCACAGATGACTGATTAGTTTACCTAATCCATCTCCAGCTGATTTATTCCTTAGAACATCTTTATTTACCAATAACTGGCCTTAGAATGTATGCATTCAGTTAATTTCTATATGCTTTAATATAATTATTGTTAACGCCAGATAAGTGACGCCTGTTCTACTCACTTCTCTATTTGGAAATGTGGTTCATTGGTTCAAGCACACGATTTGTATTCAGTGAGTACTAGATTCGAAAGCATGCAGTTTTATCACTGTAATCGTCGGTTCCACGGGACATTGAAATTTCTGGACTGCAAAGGACCTTCACTGCCGGAGAAGAGCAATCAGTGACCAGATACCGATGATGCAGTTAGCATGAGTGACAAGACACTCCGTACTTGAGTGGGTCATGTCCCACCTGACTCAACCTGGTCCACTGTGTAGTATCATTAGCCCTCACAATGAATGTGGCTCATAGCCTAGCACTGGATATTTGAGTATAAACTGACTAACTCACTTCTGTATGCAATAGTTTGCTGTAGTTGTTAAAATCTCACCTTATTTCACAGTGTAAAAATCTAAATTTTTATCTTTTTTGAATACTGTATTACCTTTTACTTATACGTCTTTTAAAATGTGTACTGCCACTAAACGTAGAAACTTAAAATAAATATAATTTTCTATGGTTGTTCACATTCTTAAATCATTTATTTAATCGTGTCATCAGCTAATTTTTTGTTTATGCACGTGTAACTTTGTTTCACTTCAGAATTGACAATAAATCCACCGGAGGGTATCGTTGCTGGACCAGTGGATGAAAGAAATTTCTTTGAATGGGAAGCGTTAATTGCGTAAGTTGATTATCACTAGTAAATAAGTAAAGGCCATTTCAACACAATTACTACCTTTCAGGTTATTTTATTAAGCTATTAACTTTACATCGTTTTAAATGATCCTGATCGTAATTTCTATCATAGAGTAGTGTATATTGTGGTAATTTATATGAAATATATATATATATATATATGCGTTGAAAAATCTGTTGCTCTAGATTTCGCCGCGGAAATGTCCTCTACGAACTGTATGAGTGTAAAGTGTGTCTATCAAATGTTACAATGTGAAAAAGACTTGAGATATATTTGGTTATTCTTGCCTGCATAATATCAATCATGTTCCATACAAAGAAGGAAATTCGGAAACATTAAGTAGAATTGTTAATAATGCAGGAATAAAAATGGCTTTCAAACCTACAAACTTATTTAAAAACAAATTATGTTGGTTGGGGGGATCCCATGGACCCCATTAAATAAAACAAATTTGTTTACCTAATACTCCGCCTGCAATGACTGTCAGGTCAAATACGTAGGCCAGAGTAGTAGAACGGAGTCAGTCAGACCAGCGGAGCATATAAACCCAGCAAAATCTAGAATAGTTGACCTGAAAAAGATAAGAAATCTAGGGAATAATTCAGTTATAGCACTCACTACATGGAATTACACACAACCATGCAAAAGGATGGCATGGGGTAAGATGACAGTTTTAAAATCTATTGTAACAGAGTTGAGGGAGAGATTGATAACGGAAGCTTTGTTTATCCATTTAACTGTAAACACGTGTAATAGGAGTGATTCAATACCTGCACATCTGGAAAAATCTACTACCCGTATGACGACAAATAGGAAAGAATAAAGAAAACTGTAAAACTCAAGTTTCGAAGACGTGTGATTACAATAATGATATGATTATGAACAATAAATAAATTGTGTTCGTAAGGTCAAACTTACCTGGCTCCCGGGTTTAGGGTGATCAAGAATGCTCTCACCCTGGGTGGAGGCTCACCATTGCACCTCGGTGAGTTGAAACTCGCGACGAGCCCTAATCGGGTTTTGACTATAACTCTTGTGTCTCCTCATTTTCGGATAAATCTTTCGCATTTTACTAAGGATTTCCGTGGAGAGGCACAATGCAATGGGTTTTATCTCATTTTTTCCAGCTCTGTCTTCGGACAGAGTATTTCGTGCGTCGCTGGCACAGCGGTTAGGACTCTCGCCAACCATGCAAACGGTCCGGCGTCTGATCCCCGACCAACGCATACCTGATATCAATTGGTCGGCCTGCTAAATTTGCGTTACCGATACCACATACTGAAAGTTTCATACTTGTACCGAAATAGTGTGTGGAATCAAGCTATAATACTGTGTAATGTATCTAATAAACGAATCAATGTGGAATAGCGTAGACTGTAAACAGAGAGCTGATTCTCTCTTCTGAAATATCTTCAGTTCTATTTAAACAATATACTGTCAGTATTTTTCATTGGTAATTGCGTTGAAAGTTGAAGTATTCTCAAACGAATATTAATTTTCAAATCTCATATTTTCTTTCTCCCCTTTTTGTAATTGATTTAATATATATTTTTTTGTCTAATTATTATTACAGTGGACCAGAAGGTACACCATTCGAAGGCGGTGTCTTTGCTGTACGCTTAAACTTCCCATCAGATTATCCATTATCTCCGCCTAAAATGCAATTCCTAACTGAAGTTTTTCATCCAAATAGTAAGTAGAATTATTACTGATTTATATTTTACGAGTTTGACCACGTATTGATATCAGTTAAAGAGAACCATTGAAAAGCACCACCAGGGGGTACTGGACAGCCATCTGTTTCGTCAGCCTAGTTTGGGAATCATCGGCAGTACGCACCCACCCCACTGCCAGGGTTCGAACCCAGGACCTTTCGGCCACAAGGCAAGCTAGCTGGTATGCCATTCAGCCACTGGGAATCGATTCAATGGTCAGCCCATGAATTCTAACTTCTACCAATTCGTGATTTAGCGTGACTGGCACCAACCAATGTCATCGGTGGGAACTCCATCCTCACACTTGACTGGATGGACCTCACTGGTCACGACTTCTCCCTAGAACTCCAGGAAACTCCGTCCTGTAACAAGTCACTAGCGAGCATCAGATTAATTTTCAAGAGTTGCTTAGTAAGGATTAGATGGTCAAACTAGTAAAAACAAATCTAATCCTTACAAACCAGCTCTTAAAAAGAAACTGATGTATATATTTATTTGTTTTAAGGATTTCATCATGAGTTGGGAAGCCGTGACCAATACGGTACAGCATGTTGGAGGTGAGGACAGTTACTCATCGAAAAAGACATTGTGAAGTGGTCGCACTATGTCATAAATTGGCAGAAGTTAGAATTCATGGGCTGGCCATTGGATCGGGTCCCAGTAACTCAATGGTCTACGAGCTAGCTCTCCTTGAAACCAAAGGGCCCTGGGTTCGAACGCCTGTTGATAGGTGCGTACTGATGAAGAGTCCCAAACTAGGTTGACGAAACAGCTGTCCAGTACTCCAGTGCTGGCTTTCCAATGGTTCTCTCTAACCTCTCTCTCAGCTCATGATGAAATCCTCCAACCAATCAAACAAAATCCTTACAAACCAATACCTGATATATATATATCTCCGTATAGTTAAATAAATGTATTATTACCTTTATCTGGTGATTGTTTTTATCTAAAAGAACCACCAAAACTGCAGGAGTTGTTGTTTAAAACGTCTCTAAACAGTAAAATTCTGTTAATTGAAACACACTGATTCCCAGTGGGTAAAGCCTCGCAGAGACTCATATTCAGGTCAGTGGATTCAAAGTTCACAGTGTAAAAGTAGTGTGGATAGGACCTACCTGATAGAGGCTATGAACACGTAGTCCCGCGAGCAGCATGCCGAGAGGAAGACCAAAGTCTATCCCCACCCTCAGTCGTGTAACAGGTTGTTTATTATGAAGAAGGACACTCCACATAGATGAATGCCTACAAGTTATTATTTTTGTCAACAACAACAACAACAGGTTGATGTCTTGACGATAACATTCACTAACTATCAATGATAGGAAATGAAGAGAAAAGAAATCACATTTTTATATCTTGCATACGAAGACCACAGTACACTCTGTAGAATAGGGTAAAGCAACAATCTCTTTTCTTTTGACTAGAGTAACTTGATGAGGATGATCTGAGTTAATAGGCTCTAGTTCAAACTAGACTAGGCATCCGATTGACTAACCTCTCATTCATAGGTTCGAACCCCCTCCCACTACCCACTGTGGTTGGAGGATAGCTAGGGAGTAACATTAGTCCTCACA